AAAAAAAAAAAAAAAAAACAAAGAGTTACTAAGGAAAGAAGATGGGACACCCCACAGATTATTAACTAATTATAATGCAGTGATCTGGTAGACAAGACCTTAACCAAAGGATCCAACTTTTCATCACTGATAATGGGACAAATTGACATCATGTTCCTTGTGATGTGATGCCATGCTGTCTGGGTTATCCACAGCTGCATGATAAACCATCCCAGAATTTAGTGACTTAAAATAACAATTGAGGGGACCTTAAAATTGAATACAAACAGAAACAAATGAACTAAAACGTTTTTCAAATAAATAACATAATCCCCTTGGGGAAGGGGCATTAAGCCAAGTAACTTTGATACACAGAATTTGGACCACATGCCCTCAGGCTAAAGAGAAAAAGAACTCTAAACAAATATTGAACTCTGGTAAGAAAGCTTTGTTTGCATAGGCATGAGTTTGCAATTCTGAAACTTTCTATGCTTTCTAGGATTAATTAAATAAGTAAATATATTGTGAATAATGGGATCCAGGTTTTTCATGTTGGAGAAGGTAGTTACAGTTATGGAAAGGGGGAGGAATAGATTGAACACTGCTGCGTTGGATTGGAACCAGAGGTATCACATTTGATATAGAGAGAGCTAGATACAGAAATGGATATAGATATGTGTGAGTGTTTACATGTATTCAATACGTATGTGTGTGCATGTATAAATGCACATGTGTATGTGTACATATATTCATCTATTGCCCAGTTCTGTCTGCTGAGAGGGTCTAGAAGTAATGACACCCCAGTAACGATGAACATACCCAGGACCCAGATCTTGGTTTCTGAATAACATTATCCACTAAAAGGAAGCAGAGATCCTTGGAGAAATGGCTGATTTTAGGACTGGAGCAAGGAAAATACAAGATGAGCCTGGATCATCTTGTGCTAAAAAGGAAGGGAGCCCTCAAGAAATGATGGGGACATGTTAAAATGTCAAGAAGCCAGCTTGAAGAACTCCCATTGGCCACATCTGGAACAATTTGAGCATAAAAGTAAATAATAACATTAAAGGTTATAATTGATCGAATAAAGTAAGAATCCACAAGTCCATATTTTTTTTGTGTGTGTGAGGAAGATCAGCCCTGAGCTAACATCTGCGCTAATCCTCCTCTTTTGCTGAGGAAGACTGGCCCTGAGCTAACATCTATTGCCAATCCTCCTCCTTTTTTTTGTTTTTCTTTTTCTCCCCAAAGCCCCAGTAGATAGTTGTATGTCATAGTTGCACATCCTTTTAGTTGCTGTATGTGGGACGCCGCCTCAGCATGGCCGGAGAAGTGGTGCATTGGTGTGCGCCCGGGATCCGAGCCCCGGGCCTCCAGTAGAGGAGCACGCGCACTTAACCACTAAGCCACGGGGCCGGCCCCGACGAGTCCACATTTAAATGAGTGAACAAACAAGTAAATAAATAAGAAGAGAAAGATCTTCCTTACAGTAGAAAGCCAAATAATAAATGTAGAAGGAATGATGGAACTATAAAAATCACCATTTTGCCCCTATCATGGTAATAATTGATTCAGGCAAGAATCATCATTGCTTGCTAAAACCAGTAGGTGAAAGTTTGGATAGTAACAAGATATTTACAGAGTATCAAAGTATCTCTCCAGAAGACATTTATTAATTACAAAGTGGAAAGCAGTAACTTTACAGTTACTGGCAGATACCAGGTTAACCAAACCATCAAAGTTAACATTGTCTGCAATGGGTCTAATTGATAGGATGTGCCTCCTGGTATAATGCACTTAGAAGAACTCAGCATCGCTTCTGCAAGATCCTGCCTAAAATGCATGATCTGAATCTAATCGTGAGGAACATCAGACAAACAGCGAATGAAGGACAATCTACAAAATAACTGGCCTGCACCCTTTGAAAAATGTCAGTGTCATGAAATACAAAGGAAGACTCAGAAAGTCTTCTTTCATTGAAGTCTTTCTTCTAAGATTAAAGGAGACTAAGGAAACATGATAACTGAAAGCAACACATATCTTGGAATTTTTTTGGTTTTTGTTTTTTGCTATAAAAGACATTATTGGGGGGCTGGCCCAGTGTTGTAATGGTTAAATTCACATGCTCCGTTTCAGCGGCCCGGGGTTCCCAGGTTTGGATCCCTGGCGTGGACCTACACACTGCTTATCAAGCCATGCTGTGGCAGCATCCCACATATAAAGTAGAGGACGATGGGCACGGATGTTAGTCCAGGACCAATCTTCCTCAGCAAAAAGAGGAGGATTGGCAACAGATGTTAGCTCGGGGCTAATCTTCTTCACAAAAAAAAACAAACAAACAGAAAAAGACATTACTGGGACAATTGGTGAAATTTTAATCAGGTATATAGATCAGGCCATAGTATTGTATCAATGTTAATTAACTCTTTTAAAATTGTATGTGGTTACGTAAGAAAATTTCTTATTTTTAGGAAATACAAACTGAAATATTTAAGGGTAAAAGAGCATTATACTACTACTTACTCTTAAACAGTTCAGAAGAAAACTAGGAAGAGAGATACAGATAGAGATAGATAGATAGATGATAGAGATTGAGAGGAGAAATAAAGCAAATATAGTGAAGTATTAACATTTGGGGGTTCTGGATATCTGGGAATTCATTGTACTATTCCTGAAGCTTTTCTGTAAGCCTGAAATTATGTCAATAAATTTTTAAAAATATGTTATCACTTCTTGTTGTTTTGTAAGTTGACTGGGCTCAGCTGAGCAGTTCTTGCTTAGGGTCTCCTATGGAAGAGTCCTGGGTTGCGAGAAAAATAGCTGTAAAGGACATCTGGGGGAAATGTGAATGTGATCTGTACACTAGATCACATTGTTGCATTAATGTTAAATTTCTTGGATATGAGAATAATATTATGACTTTGGAGGAGGAGATCCCTATTCTCAAGAGATACAGGCTAAAGTATTGTATTTCAGGATAAAATATCATAATGTCTGCAACTTATTTTCAAATGATTTAGCAAAAATAACAAAAATAAATTTACATACATGTGTGTGTATGTGTGTGTGTGTGTGTGTGTATTTGGAGAGAGAGAAGCAAGTGTGGTAAAATAATTGTCAATCTTGGTGAATGGTCTAGGGCATTTATTGTACTATTCTTTCAACTTTTCTGTAGTTTTGAAATTTTTCAAAATAAAGAGTTGGAGATAAAAGAACATTTCTTGAAAACATTTGCTCCCTCTAATACTGTACTTATTTATATGATCCACACATACATCACAGAATCTTAGAATTTGAGAGTCCTCAGAGTTCATCCAGTCCAATGTTTATCAAACTATGGGTTGCAACTCAATCCTTGATCATAAATAGCAGGTCACTGGCCAACATTTCTTCGAATGGAATGGCATAGAACAAAACTATCAGTGGGCCCCACCACTTATTAAGAGAAGTCTGTTTGGGGACACTTCTGTTTGAATCGCATGTATGTGTATGAATGCATGCGTGTGATGAGTTCCAATGAAAAAAATATTTCTCACCGTGAGTTGTGCTCAAGACCCCTGGACAATATCAGTTCAATTCAAGGCTAGGCATTCTGTTCTTTAATAGAGCATTTTTGAATACTTTTAAAATAATATTATCATTTTATTGTTAGTATTATTATTGTTCAAATGCCCAAAATTTCAGAGATGTAATTAAATGCGTTTTAGTATAGCACATGAGTGGAGTGGCACAAGAATTAAATACTCAAGAAGTTGACTCTAGTATATTTAATAATCTAATACATGATAAAGGAGGCATCATAAATAAATGGTAACGACATGAATTCAATAAGTTGTTTTGCCATATTTAGTCAATTATCTCGTTTAAAAAATATTTTCGAGCCTTACTCCACACGCTACAAAATGTACATTTTTTAAAAAGTCAGATTAAAAATAACCAGAACATTTAATCTCCAAAATATATAAAGAACTCATGCATCTCAACAACAAGAAAACTACCAACCCAATTAAAAAATGGGCAAAAGACCTGAACAGACATTTCTCCAAAGAAGATATACAGATGGCCAACAGACACATGAAAAGATGTTCAAAATCACTAACTATCAGGGAAATGCAAATCAAAACTACAATGAGATATCACCTCACGCCCGTCAGAATGGCTATAATTAACAAGACAGGAAACAACATGTGTTGGAGAGGTTGTGGAGAGAAGGGAACTCTCATACACTGCTGGTGGGAGTGCAAACTGGTGCAGCCACTATGGAAAACAGTATGGAGATTCCTCAAAAAATCAACAATAGAACTACCATATGATCCAGCTATTCCACTGTTGGGTATTTATCCAAAGAACTTGAAAACACCAATTTGCAAAGGTACATGCACCCCTGTGTTCATTGCAGCCTTATTCACGATAGCCAAGACTTGGAAGCAACCTAAGTGCCCATCAAGGGACGAATGGATAAAAAAGCTGTGGTATATATACACAATGGAATACTACTCAGCCATAAGAAACGATGAAATCCAGCCATTTGTGACAACATGGATGGACATTGAGGGCATGATGCAAAGTGAAATAAGTCAGAGGGAGAAGGTCAAATACCGTATGATTTCCTTCATTAAGTAGTAGATAATAACAACAATAAACAAACACATAGGGACAGAGATTGGATTGGTGGTTACCAGAGGGGAAGGGGGGAGGGAGGAGGGTGAAAGGGATAATTGGGTACATGTGTGTGGTGATGGGTTGTAATTAGTATTTTGGTGGTGAACATGATGTAATCTATGCAGAAATAGAAGTACAATGATGTACACCTGAAATTTTTACAATGTTATAAACCAATGTTACTGCAATAAACAAAAAATTAAAAAAAAAAAAAAATAACCAGAACACAATTCAGGTGAATTTGTATCCCAAACCTATACATAGTCACATTATTCTCTTTTCTTATATTGAGATATAATTGGCATATAACATTATATTACTTTCATTTCAGGTGTACAACATAACGATTCAATATTTGTATATATTGCTTGGATACTTATTGTTGCCATTTATTCAAAAATGAATTGTGTCATGCTTCTGGTTCTTAGTACACTGGCAGGATAATTTATTGAGATACTAATTTGAGTTTAGTTTTTATTTTATTATTATTTTTTTATTGAGGTCATCTTGGCTTATACCATTGTGTAAATTTCAGGTGTACATTATTGTATTTCAGTTTCTGTATAGACTGCATTGTGCTTACCACCAATAGTCTAGTTTTATCTGTCACCATACACAGGTGCCCTTTTACCACTTTTACCTTCCCCCCACCCCCTCCCCTCTGGTAACCACCAACCTGTTCTCCTTATCTATGTGTTCGTTTATCTTCCTCATATGAGTGAAATCATATGGTGTTTGTCTTTCTCTGTCTGGCTTAGTTTGCTTAGCATAATACCCTCAAGGTCCATCCGTGTTGTCGCAAACAGTTTTTATATCTCCCCTCCCCAACGGCCTTTGTACCAAGCAGTCCTTAGGTACCAGGAATGCTGAGCAGAAAGCAGAAATGGTTTAAAAGTAACCTCCCTTTTCCAAATCCTTGTTTGTTTTTAAGCCCAAGCTCCTTGAGAGAAGTGTGCTGAATTGAGGCCAATTGCATAGACTTCATCAATGGTTTTCTTTGAATTAATTTTATTTGAACTCATTTTACGTATTTCAAATAAAAGATTCCTCACCTTCAAAATGAAGAGATTGGGAATCTCAACCTGGAGTTTAGCAAATCAGTGAACTTGAAAGAGAAAAACATTTCCTCTTCATTTTCACTGATCTCTAGCAAAAGTGTTTCCTTCAACTGTGAATATAAGTATCAAACCATAGTTGTATTAGCAGGACCTGTGACTTGTCACCAATAAAAATCACAAATATTTTCACATCACATGACAGTTGTCGCAGATATCTTGAAATATTGTTTACTCTCATTGCCACGTCAAAAGCATGGTAGTTATTAGACTGGTGCTAGATTTTGTTACTTAATAGATTAAATGAAGGACCACATATACCACACATTTATAATTTGTAATACTTTGATGACATTTTCAATGTAATTGGTTTCCTTTGTATTCCTTTGTATGATGTTTTATGCATTCAAAAACATTATTCTGAGAAGCCAGACTGAAAGGCCCTGCGTCAAACGAACATTTAGAGCCCTTGGACTGGACATTCTCTGATTTTCAAAATCCACATTGGTGTGTACACAGGATCTCTCTCTATCCCTTGGGAAAATGACTCATAAGTGAGATAATTATCTGTGACAAGGTTACACTGACATTTTGAACATTCCATATCTGACTTGAAGTGCAACCTAATCCACAAGCTGAAACATACAAACCTTTAAATTCAACCTTCCAGACAAACCCTTCTATTAAAAATATTCTCTAATAATTTCACAGCAAAAAGTAGGAAAACAACATCAGAAACTGAACCAGAAAACCATGTCTTACTCCCAGTTCTGCTGTCTGAGATTGGGAGTCATTTAACTTCTCTGAACCTCATCTCTAAACACATTTAGATGATATTTAAAATCTATAAGATCTCTTTTCAATTGTAAAATTCTATACAGTAGTCCCTCCTTATCCGCGGGGGACACGTTCCAAGACCCCAGCGGGTGCCTGAAGCTGCGGATGGTACTGAACCCTGTATAGACTACGTTCTTTCCTCTGCATACATCCCTATGGTCGAGTTTAATTTATAAATTAGGCACAATAAGAGGTGAACAGCAACAATAAAATAGAAGAATTATAACAATACACTTTAATAAAAGTTAGGTGAATGTAGTCTCTCTCTCTTTCAGTCCAAACCTGTTCCTGAGTGTGTGTAACCGTCCCTTACTCGCAGTAAAAGTCTTGGCGTCACGCGTTTTGGGGGGGTCCCTTGTGCGGTCCTCGTATAGGCTCAATGCTTTCTGGAGCAACATGCTGCCGTCAGCAGGAACAAGTTTTCCGTTTGTGTCTTCCGCCTACAGATTTAACGCCTTTTCCATCTTAACTGAGCACTTACCACGCACTGTGGCCGTAACTTTTGCAATTTGAGGTACGACAGCAAAACTAGCACGAATTTCTTTTGCCTCCTTCACAATTTCATGGATAAAAGATTCGTTCTTACCATAGATCTTAGTAACCTCAGCACGTAGTTTTTTTCTTTCCTTAAATCGAGAACTTTCACCTCTTCACTTACAGGAAGCACTTGACGGCTTCTCTTTGGCATATCCAAATTGGATATTACTATCTCTTTGGCATCACTATTCTTGTGCTTGGGGCCATTATTAAGTAAAATAAGGGTTACTTGAACACAAGCACTGTGATACCGTGATAGTCCATCTAATAACCAAGACGGCTACAAAGTAACTAACGGGTGGGCAGCATATACAGCGTGGATACTCTGGACAAAGATTGATTCATGTCCTGGGTGGGACAGAGCAGGACGGCACGAGATTTTATCGTGCTACTCAGAACGGTGCGCAATTTAAAATTTATTAATTGTTTATTTCTGGAGTTTTCCATTTGATATTTTCGGACCACAGTTGACTGCAGGTAACTGAAACCACAGAAAGAGAAATTGCAGATAAGGCAGGGATTACTGTATTTCTGAAATTTTCTGCTTTTCAGCTGGGTGTATTCTTTGGGATTCAGTTCTTAGTACTCTATCTTTAATTAATTCATTCACTTATCAAATATTGAAGTGGGAATAACTGGGCAACGAAGCCAGAGGATACTGGAAAAATTTTCCAATGAGTAATATTTAAGGTAAGTTTTGAAGGCTGAATAGGAGTTTGTTAAGTGAGGAGAGGACAAGGACATTCTAGGCAGAGAGGCCACCACCAAGGCCCAGTGTGCTCAGAGCCCACCCCACACTAAGGGGCTTGAAAGGGATTCAAATGTGATCAGATCCGTACTGAGGCTGGGCTCCTTGGCTTACAGGAAATGGGAGAAAGTGTATAAAGAAGTGAAGTGACATGGTCAAGTTTGTGTTTTGGAAAAGCAACCCTGAGAGCAATGTGAAGCATGGGGAAAACAGAAATCAGAGAGACCAGTTAGAAAGGAGGATACTGCAGCATTTGAGGTAAGAGAGAGTGGAGACCCGAATCAAGACACTAGCAACAGGAATAGAGAAACAAATGGAAAGAAGGGAAGTAGGCAATCTTTATGAGAAACTGGGTGTGGTGATGGAGGAGGAATCAAGGGCGACCCTAGTTTCCAGTGAGGACAACTGGGTGAAGGGTGATATTGAATGAGGCAGTGATTAACCAGAATAGGGAATACAAGGGGGAGAAAAGGCTCTGCAGGGAAGAAAGCTAAGCTTTGAAAGGTTGAGTTTGAGGAGCCTGTTTGACCTCTAGAGAGAAATTCTGGCCAGCCCTTGGAAATATCGGCATGGCACTCTGGAGAAAGGTGTACCTGGAAATATAGAATTATAAACACCACATGAGGTAGCTGAAGCCATTTCATTGCTTCTCCATCACCACCAATGGCACCACCATCTGCCCAGTCCCTCTGCAGTGCTTCGTCTTACCAAGCCCCTCAAATCCGGACTCCTGAGCTTGCTATTAAGGCAACAACTGCGTCCTCCTCACTCTCACCTTGCCATCTGACCTTTGTTACTCCAGAACATAGCTCTGCATTTGTTAGGGTACAGGCAAAGTTGCTGTAGCGAAGGAACCCCAAAGTAGAATAGTTTATATATGAGAGAAGTTTCTCAGTCCAGGGCCTGTAGGGCAGCTCTGTTCCATGAGGACATATAGGAATCCAGGCTGGTGGGCAGCTCTGCTATCCTTATCATCCCTCTTAGGCCCCAAGGGATTGTTCCAATCATTGCCATTTCCCAGTTGGTGGCGAAAAAATATGCAGGGCAAGCAGCTGCATCTTTATGGAGATAAATACACGTCACTTCTGCTCACATTCCATTGCTCCAAACTTGGTCACATGATCACACCTACCTTCAAGGGAGACTGGGAAATGTAGTATCTTGCTGGGCAGCCATGTGCTAGGCTCACACTCAGAGGGACTGTGTTACTAAAATGTAGAAAGGGAAAATGGATACAGGGAACACTTAGCAGACTCTGACCCTTCTAAACCCCTAGCCATCTTAATATCTGTGCACACCCTATTTCCACACATAGAATACACTCATCCTTCCCCTCGGGAGACAACTCCAAGTACAATCCATTTACTGAGTACAAAATAAAGTCTAGGGGCCAGTGCCATGGTGTAATGGTTAAGTTCGGCTAGGTCTACTTCTGCAGCCCGGGTTCGCAGGTTTGGATCCCAGGCACGGACGTACACCACTTGTCAGCCATGCTGTGGCAGAGACCCACATACAAAATAGAGGAAGATTGGCACAGATGTTAGCTCAGGGTGAATCTTCCTCAGCAAAAAAAAATAAATAAATAAACAAGAAAGAAAGAAAGAAAGTCAAGCATCTCTGAGTAGTATGCAGTCCTCTCCATCAGGTCTAGCTCCAGCAATTTACGTAATAACAATGTTATTCCCCCACCACTACTCAACTTTCAGTACATAATGTGGAGCGGGAACAGGATATCTACAGTGAAAACTCCCATTTGGGAAGAGGAAGAAACGAAAGCATTTAGCAGTCACTGGTGCACAGCAACAATGAACGGTGTTGGACAAGAAGTGCAGATTCCCTGCCCTGGAGTGAAGGAAGTTCTCCAGTCAGACCTTGGTTCTGCTCTCTGGGAGGAACCCCCGTACCTGGTTCTCTCTGGACTCTGGCTTTGTCCTTGTCCATGATTCCCTATGGTCATACCTGAAGAGGGCTGTGGAGAGTATCCTGGTCTTTTTGTCTGTTGGTTCTACTCATTACTAAGAAGGTTGGATTAAAATCTCTCACTATGATTGATTGTCTTTTTCTCATTGTTTTACTATCAATTTTTATTTTTTTTTTATTTTTTGGTGAGGAAGACTCACCCTGAACTAACATCTGTTGCCAATTTTCCTCTTTTTTTGCTTGAGGAAGGTTGTTCCTGAGCTAACATCTGGGCCAATCTTCCTCTATTTTGTATGTGGGTTGCTGCCACAGCATGGCTGACAAGTGGTGTAGGTCCACACCCGGGATCCGAATCTGTGAACCTGGGGCTGCCAAAGTAGAGTGCACCAAATTCAACCACTACACCACGGGGCCAGCCCCTCAATTTTTATTTTTTTGATGCTTTTAAAAAGATGTTTAATAAATTATGTTCAGCAGGAAGGTTGATCTGAATTAGCTAGTGTGCCATTACTGAAATTGGAAGTGTTACTTCTTTATAGCTCCTAGAACAATGTTTCTCCAGATAGGGGTCTATGGACCATGTGCATCAAAATCATATTATGCTTCTTAAAAATTGAGATTCCAGGAGCTGGCCCAGTGACATAGCGGTTAAGTGTGCGTGCTGCGCTGCCGCGGCCCGAGGTTTGGATCCCAGGTGTGCACCGACGCACCGCTTGTCAAGCCATGCTGTGGCAGCGTCTCATATAAAGTGGAGGAAGATGGGCACGGATGTTAGCCGAGGGCCAATCTTCCTCAGAAAAAACAGGAGGATTGGCGACAGATGTTAGCTCAGGGCTGATCTTCCTCACACAAAAAAAAAAATTTTAAATTTTGAGATTCCAGGGCTGCCATCCCAGACTTCATTCAGAACCGATGGCACTAAAACCCAGAAATCTGCCCTTTTGATAGGCTCTCAGGTTATACTTATGAAGACTAAAGTTTGAGAAATTTTGCCTCAAAGCTTAGCCCAGCACTCTTAGTAATAGGTATTCAGGGAATTTGATTTGACTCTTGTTTAAAGGTCAGGTAGGGCAGGAGAAAGCTGAATACGTGTTCCAGTCAGAATGTGGTCAACGTTACAATCTCCTATCTCCTCGCCATTTGAAAAAATCCTCCTTATAAAACAAGGTGATCCTAAAGATAAACTCTCAGGAACCAAGCCCCTATCTAGAGCCAAAGTCCAATCCTGTCACATCTGCCTGTCGCAGGAGTAGCATCCATTTTGATCAGCCATGGATGGCAGGTACTTCAGTGTGCCTGTTAGTTACTAAGGAAAGGTTTGAGAAAGAACTTACCTAAAGATATCGTGACCCCAAATCCACTGGTGAATCCAATTACTAACTAGCCTCAAAAAAACAGCCTGTGAAGCCATATCTTTTATGAAATGATGGCAATTACAAATAGTAAGGTTTTTCCCCCCGATATTTTTATTTGGCAAAATAAGAAGTTGTTAACACTATGTTGGTCTTCAATATTATTTTGAAATTTTACTAGTCCAAGAAATCTGTAGATCTCAGAATCACTGACTTACAGCTCCTCAAGCCACTCTAGATTCCAGTGTTTAAGAAAGCTCTCGGCTTGCTAAAGTCTGCAAATAGCAGGCAATTCTGCATTCCACACTGTCAGGAACTTGATTAATTATCTATTTGGATTAGTCAACAGAATCTATGTTCCCATGTTTCGGTGACACGGTTACTTAAATTTCTTAACTTTGGTCATGCTTTTGAGTTACAATGCTTTCCCAAATGTTTGTCTTTGCTTTCTTGCAGGAAAAAAACACAGCCAACCAGTCGATGAGCAACACCTTTAGATTTCTCATTTCCGCACCGACATGCAGTGTCTTAGATTTCTTCAACTTTTAAAGGAAAAGCTTTGTGTGAGTTCTTGGGTTTTCCACAGCCGAATGACCTTAATATGGGAACATGCTCATGTTACACACCATAGACTTCAATAGAAAGTTTCAGAAAATCTGAGCGTTTTAATCAGATGATCTTGCTCTCTCTACTCAGAAAGTGAAACTCCACGG